CCTGTTCCCACAGCATCCATCAGAGTTCATGCATACACAATGTCCTAAAAAAATAAAAAAAATGCTTACTGGTTTTATACTCCTTTCTATATGTCTTGCCTTGATGTGTTCATTTACATGGTAAATCACAAAAGAGGGACCAGCGATCTCTTTTGTAGCTGCCTTTCTGAATTAATTATACACTAATCTTCAACACAGCTGAACATTTCCATTCCTGTTAAGAAATATTTCAATAGAATGCTTGTCACAGAGACCGTCCTTTAAACTTGTGTATAAGCTATGGATAAAACAATATAAATGACTTCTATTTGTAAAGAGTTTGTTCTTAAAGTCAGGCCATGAATAATTAAGATTTTTCTTTCTTCCCTTTTCCTTTAAGTATAAAATTTAAATACAACTGTATTCTCTGTTAATAATGTTAAAAACTAATAAGGAAGTACTAACTTTAGCACATAGGGCCTAAAAGAAGCTTATATCATGACAAGATTCAAAAGAGTATTCATGAGGAAACAGCATAGTTATTGTGGGGGAATTTTAGCAGCTGAACTGAGTATTTTAAAACTAATAATATGCCTGAAATAAAATGTGCATTAACTTGCCTTGGTTTAAAAGCTGGCATGAATGACTATTATTCCCGAAATCACATGCGTTGAAATTACACTGCAATCAAATCACTTAGGAAAGATATGGTGATCCTTAAATGACTAAGCTTCTATTATTAGCTCCATGCTACAAATTGCTTCCATGCTTGGCAAACGTGGCCGGCTCTGAAGCACATGATAGATAGTAGAACTACTCTGATCTCAACTCATCACCTCAAAGTGCTGATAGCAGGACCCATGGTTTTGCAGAAGCTCATGGAGTAAATTTGAAAATTATTTGGGGCATTTCTACAACTATTAATAAACATGTTCATTTTCTTAATAAAAAGGGAATGCTTCTCATTGAAATCAAGAAATTATGGATCTGTATCCAAAGGCTATCTTTAGCCCCCACCACCATCTTTTAGTGGAGTCATGCTGGCATTAGTTCAAAGAAGGTTTTGTTTACTTTCAGAGGGGCTGACTTTAAGGGACCATCAGAAATCAACTAGCCAAGTGCCACTGTGGTGGCTTTAACTGGTGTGTGCCCTGGGGGTGGGAGGGTCTATCAGCACGAAGGATGCCTGACAATGGAAATTCACTGTAACCAGGTGGAACCGGGCACTTGGTGCAAGACTCTGATCATAAGTTGAATATGAGCTACACTAAAAAGGGGGAGGGTTTCCTTCTCCCCACTCCCCACCCCCACCCCCCTGAATTATATGACTCTTAGGGGAAGGGCCTTTTTAAAACTAACACTGCATCTCTAAGACTTCCCATAGGGCTTGCACATAGTAGGTACAGAAAAAAGAAGAGAGCTAGAGAAAGAGTGGAAGGCACTATTACGTTTCCGTGCCTTATAAAGTGGGGAATGAATTATCTTTTCTCTTGGTGCAAAAAGACCCTATAGTGCCTGCTTCCACTTGATGTTCTTTCCTACACCCAAATTGGCAGAGCTCTCTGTGCATATTGTGTGACTACTGGGGGGAAAGGAGACCCCTTTATGAGAAGCCTTCCAAGTATGGAAGCCAGATAAGGCAAAAAATGCTTCTGTTTCCTGAATGTTTATCCCTCTGCTAGGAGGATAAACATGAGGAGCATGCCATTCAAAGGACAAAGTTTATGCAATCTCTCTCCTTCTATAAGTGAAGTGAGGAACATCTAATTTTCCCTAAACAAATCTCTAACATTCACAATGTTTTAGGAAGGAAAAATAAAATTGACATTTAAGGCTTTACAGAAGTGGTTTAGATCTTATCTCCAAAGTTAAATGGATAGCAATTGGAAAAAATAAATGTATCAGGAGGCATAAGGCACATGCAATTATTTTTACAACCTGAACTAAACAAGTGTCTGAGTGGGCAAAGAAAATGTCAAACATTCGTCAGAAATTAATCCTGTTTAGAAATTTGCTATGAAAAGCTCGAGTTGCAATGGAAAAATGTTAAAGACACTTGAAATGATTAGCTGCTGATGTAGTGGTTCTTGCTAGATGTGTTTTGCTCATGAGTGACACACCATTTTTGGTGGAGTCTATTTTAGAATTTAAGCAGTGCTTGGTAACTGTGTTTAATTAATATTTTGCCTCACAAATAACATAATGGAATTCTAACTATGCCTTTTTTCCATTTGTATAAACCTCTATTGGAGCAAAGATTTCATTATGGAATCATTTTCCAGTGATATTTTCTTAATCACAGTTTTTTCAAACCTTTATATTTCAGTTAAACATCCATCCGTTTTTGTTTCATTAAGTAAAAGTACAAATGATTATCTCACTACAGATTTCATTTCAGGTGATTATCTTTAATTTGATGAAAGGCAGTGTTTATAAAGTTGACATCTTTGTGCACAGGTAATTCGGTGGTAATAAATGTCAAGAAATCTGATCTCCTTGGAAACTATGCATATTCATTTGTTCATGCAACATATCGTATTGGGTGAATACTGCATGTGAGACATGATGCTATGTATGCAAAAAGTTTGAATTAAATACTTGAAAATATCTGAAGTGACTGATATTTACTGCACATGTGAAGCATGGCTTCCAACTATCAACTGTCCACATTTTGTTTATTTTCTAGCCTTTGAAAAACAATGTGTCATTTTTTTTCCTGCTAAAAAAAAAAAAAGTCAATTTAGCTCTTTGGAGGCCTAATCTAAAAATCTCCGTTGGTGGTCCTGTGACTCTTGAAGCCTGAGACAGGGCATGTATAACCCAACATTCCTTCCTTCCTCGGAGCCCACCCAGGCCCCTCCCCTACCTAAATGAGTCTCCTTCCTAAACCCCCCAGGAAGCGGGGGCTCTGACCAGAACCTGGCTTGCTCTGTGGGTGGTGAAAACCCCAGCACTGGAATGCCAGTTCCACTGGGACTGAGAGCAGAAGCCAACCGATCATGGGAAACAAAAAGACTTGCTGGTCCGGTGTCCTAAAGCCAAGAAGCGAAGGGCTGCGAGAGATCCTGCACGTGATCTAGCTCTCTGTTCTCTTTTTTCAGACAATGACATGAGAATCAGGGAGGTAGGGGATTTGTTCACAGAAATCAGTGGTAACCAGTAGCTAAGATAGAAGCACAGCTTCATATCAACGACTGGATCAGACTCAGACCCCTCACCTAAATGCCTACATACTTTTTACCTTGCATTAGGTCCAAACCTGTGTGTGTGTGTGTGTGTGTGTGTGTGTGTGTGTGTGTGTGTGGTGAGGGGGACGGGATGGATTACTGGTGCGAATTATTGGGTCCAAACCAGCTGTCTTGTCCATCAAGTATAACCAATACCTTGATATGTCCGGGAATTAGATCCCATTAAGTACTGTAACAACGCTGATAATAGCAACTACTGAGGTAAGAAAACACTAGCAATTCTATCAACACCTTCCCTGCAGCTGCGAGACTGTGAGACTGTGTGCAATCCCCAATACAAAACACTCCGGAGTCCTGGTTCTGCTGCCCTTGGCAACGCTCCAGGAAGAGCCTGGCTCTCCTGGGAGAAACAAAACCGGCGCTTCTCCCAGCAGAACCCAGAGCATCAGGCAGTGGCCAGGAGAGGCGCTGGTGCGAGGCTTCCCGCCGGCCTTTGTGCCCGGACCACCTCGGGCGACCCTACCAGTCCGGCTCTTTCCCGGTGCTCTCAATCCACTCCTCCCCTCCCCCCAGTGCCTCCGGGGCTGCAGAGGTTAAAGCCTAAGGATGTGGGGTGCTCGCACGGCCCAGATGCACCTCCGGGAGGCTACTCCCAGCTTGACAGCAACACCTGCGTGTCGGCACTTGCGCGCTGGTTTCACCCGGGATTCGGCTGGTTTCACCTGCGCAGCCCAGCTGCTGGCTCAGCTCCGCACAGAGGGTGGGGGCTGCCCGGCCTGGGCGCCGGCTCCTCCCCCTCCAGAGGAATGCCCCGGGGGAGCACCGCGCTCCTTCGCTCCCGGAGCGGACGCCTGGCTCCCAGACTCACACCCCAGAGGGTACCCTAACCCCATCAGACCCTGCCCGAACCCCTAAAAGCCAAGCCGTGTGCTGGGATCCGGCCCCAGCCACCACCACCGCGCGCCAGGTGGATGGGTGGGCGCCTGGGAAGGCGGTAACCCGGTCTTGAACCCCAGATCCTTGAAACCCACGCACCACGACGTCCATAATTCAACTGGACGGGAAGGTCAAAGGCGAAGTGTGCCGCCCGCGGCCTCGTAGGCGGGCGGGGTGATGCAATAGGGGGCAGGGGCGATGGCACGGGCGGGGGGCGGCGTGACCGAGAGGAGCGGGGAGCGGGGGTGGGGATGGGGGGAGGCCTGGGAGCTCGGATCTGCAGGTCGGCACCAGGCGGCGGCCAGGAGGGGACCCGGGGACCAGCGGGCCGCGTGCTGCCGCCGCCGGCGCATTCCCGGCTGCGTGAGTCACTGCGCCCGGCCGCCGCGCTCCGGCTCCTTCCCCGCCCAGCGCACCCCCCCGGGGGCGGGATCCGAAGGGAACAGCGTCGCTTCGGGGATTTTCTCCCGCCTCCCCCTTTCCACCACCCCCGCCGCGCTCCCCGCCTCCCAGAAAGCTAGCGGGGTTGGATCCTGGAGGAGTGCCCGCCGGGGGAGCCGGGTGGTTCCGAGGCGGCGCCCTCAGCACCCCAGCACGGGGCCCCCCTGGCAGCTGCGGGGCGACCCGGGCAGCGCGTCCCGCGCGCCCACCGCTCTCCGGCCCCCCGGCTCCCGGCGGTGCCCACCGCGGGGGCACCCTGCGGGCACGCAGCGCGCTTTCCTCCCTCCCCGCTGCCAACAGCTCCCCCCACCCAGCAGGGACCACATCAGCATCCAGCGGGGACCCCTCGGAAAAGGCCGCGTTCGCCGAGGGCCGGCAGCGGGTGCGGAGAGCCGCCGCGCACTCGGGGCGGCTGGAACCCCACCAAGAACCACGCGGTCCGACGGTGACTCTTACCCGAAGTGTCCCACAGGCTCAGTTCTATTCTTTGTGTGTCGATTTCAAAACTGGCCGTGTAATTCTCAAACACCGTGGGGACGTAATTCTGGACGAACAAAATGGACAGAAGAGGGCAAAGAGGTTATCTTAAAACGCACACGACGCTGCAAGGACAGATACCCTCTGAAACGCTGCCTCCTCAATTACAAATACAATACCCGACACATCAGCTCACACACCAAACAGGCATTCATTGGCCTTTTCCTAACCCGCCGGCTCCCCACTCGCCTCCTCCTCTCGCCCTGGACTCCCCCAAGACATGAGGATCCAAATCTCCCCCAAACCCGGACTGCACTCAGGACCGGACAAGTTTCAGAGCTAACAGCAGAGAATGTGCAGGCGCGTTCCACCCCTACATGCTTCCTGCCCACTTTCCCTCTCCAGCCAGTCTAGCCGGTGGGAGGAATACGGGGTAAAAAGGGAGAGCTATAATAATAATAATAATAATAATAATAATAACAACAACAACAACAACAACAACAACAACAATAATAATGAGGGAAGAGGGAAAAGCAAAGGGAAACCCACCCAGAGACAGAGTACCCCCGCGAGCCGCCCGCATCCTCAAAGTCCCGCCGGCCCCACTCACCTCGGGGAAGCAGTCCTTGGCGAAGACGTGCAGCAGCGCGGTTTTCCCACACTGACTGTCTCCCACCACTACTATCTTGCATTTCACATTCTGATTAGGATCCATGATAGATTTGCTGGACAATTTCTGGCTGGCTCTTCTCTCCTTCATTGATCTTGTCTTATTTTCTCTTAGAACAGGAATTTTCTCTTAAGAGGAAAAAAAAATATATATATATGTATGTTTCTCTCTCTATATATATATAAAAAAGCAGATATAAAAAAATAAGTGGCAAGGCTGGTGGGAATCCCTGAAGCACGGCGCAGACCAGGAGAGCTGGAGGAGCTGGCTCCTTTCTCCCCTCCAACAAGTTTTTATGCCTGACTCCGCGCCGCGCTTCCTCCCGAGTCCAATTCCGATCCGACTGCTTTGTTTCACGCTCTCTGCGCGGCTTTATACGCTCAGCCTTCCAATCCTCTTCTTTCTCAATGAGAGGAGGAAACTGATCCGCCTCCTCCCCTTTTATGGAGCCCGGGAGCCAGCGCTGTCTGGTTGCTTGCAGACGACGTAAACAGTGCGCCCTCTAGGGTGACCCTGCGGGATCTATGGCCAGACCAAGGCTCTGGCACAACTTGAAGCTTCCAAGGACGCTCTAGGGATGGATGGGACTGGGCAAGTCCAGGAAGCGATGGAAAACTGAATCCCTGTGCATATTGATTTTTACTAGAAATAAAAAAAAAGACGTTTTAGTAAGGACTGATCTACAGAAGATGCATGGACATTTATGAAAGCAAAAACGTTAGTCTCCTAAATTAAGACATCCATATACAATAGAGGAAGCAAGTCTTGGGTGGGGAAGGGTTAAGTGATTGTTTTTGTAGGAAAACCGTCTGTCATAGGTATATAGGCCATAAATCAGCAGCTAAGCCAGGTTATTCCAGATGTGGGAACTGGCTTGCCTGGGTCACAGTAATAGACTGTCTTCTGAAACATGTCAGTTTCAGTCAATCAGGGGTAGTGCAAAGGGGAGGTGGGAGCAGAAAAGAAATAAAATGAAGGACTACTCATCAATGAGTGACAAAACCACTGGAAACATAACCTTATGGCGCTGGGGACCCAAACATACGAAGTCAGCCATTGTCCAAATTGCAGTGAGGGGATTGGATAGGAAGGACTCAGATACTGCCCTTTAACCCCTTTATCAGGGACCCTCCCCCGCCCTCCCTGGAATTGAAGCACCCTAGGCTGGACCCAAAAAATACATTATGCATAGCTGAAAAATGCAGGTACAAACTTCCGCCTCCCTTCATCCCTCCTCCACATCCATCACTCTAATCACCCATTTCAAAAGTCTCAGAGAGGACTAAAATTGACCGGTGAATTTGTCTTCTTTTTCTTATACGTTCTTTTTTCCCCTCATCTTCATCTTCTGTGCTCCAAATAGTCAGAAGGTTTCAACCATTAGGTCATAAGGACATTGGCCAAAACCAACTTAAAAGTTCCCTATGAAGACTTCTAGGCTTGTAAATGAAAAGAAGATGAAGTGAAAAACAAAAAGTCTAGTATGAGGAGTGAAAAGGCACAATGAAGGGTGGTGAAAAGCATGAATGTAAGTATTAGACACTATGACCATGAGATCCCAGAGCTGAGAAATTGGAGCCCCCCAGAGGCAGACTCTGATGTGGCCTATCGGTCACATTGTGGAGGGCTGACCCACAGAAAAGAGGATGGTTGGCCGTCCTCGGGTTCCTGCAGCAACATCGGCCAGAGTTTGCTTGGCAGAACTTTAGTCCTCCTCCTCTTCCTCCTCAAAAAAAAAAAAAAAAAAAAAAAAAAAAAAAAAAAATGGGTGTCATGTGAGTGATGTGCTCATATCACTCCTTGAAGATGTACCAAGTATGTTGCAGACAGAAAAAGTCTTGTAGCAAAGTAGCCTACATGCTTTATTTAAACCATCATCCTCAAATCTACTTATGCACAGAAATTTTTTTACTTGTTTATTTACTGGTTTGTTTAAGAAGCAATGGTCATAGTGGTTGGAGGCAATAGATCACAAAGAGGTGTATTTAGTTCCTAAACTTCATATTTTCCATCTGTGTAACATTGGGTGAGTTATTTAACCTCTCTAAGCCTCAATTTCATCATCTGTAAAATAGGAGTTATAATAATAACTATGAGGAAATGTAAAATAGTAATTTTGAAACAATGTAAATGAGGTTCTCAGATTAGTTTCTGGCACAATAAAGAATCATCAACCTATTTTTTTTATATCGCACATAACTCTTATTTGCACTTCTCAGAACTACTGAATGTATCACGGGAAATTCTGGCCTCATTAGTGGCCTCACTAATTGAAACTGGGAAAATTAGATACACCTTATTTTTCCCTCAGTTTTTTACTTAGAAATTTGCCCCTTTCTAGAGATATGATTTGACTTGCCATATTCTTGAATTGACATAGTCTATATCAGCGTTTTTCAACCGCTGTTCCGCGGCACACTAGTGTGCCGCGAGATGTTGCCTGGTGTGCCGTAGGTGCAGACAAGACAAGAATTTTATAATTTTTCACTATTTTGTTTACTTAATATTTCATAATAAAATAATTATAAAATACTTTTTTGTGTTTATTTGATTCCTATTCAAGAGAATTACTTTATATATAGTCAATATAGGCACAGAGTTAAATTTTTTAACATTTTCTAATGGTGGTGTGCCTCATGATTTTTTTCATGAAACAAGTGTGCCTTTGCCCAAAAAAGGTTGAAAAACACTGGTCTATATGGTTAAACCACTCTAACTAGCAATAATTATTATTTATCAGTAATTGGCTGACAAGGAATAGAATAACTGAGTAGTTTATCATATAAGCTGGGACAATTTTGAGAGAAAAATGATTGCATCAGAACAACAATGATAAACACCGTCTGTCCCAGACAAACTGAGAGACATGATCACTTTACTCATGAGTAATCTGGAATCAGAGTGGATAGCTATTTTTGGAAATCAGGTTACCTGAATCTCCAGGAATCTGCAAGTTGCTGAGTGAAATTTAATGTCTGTGTAATAGAGTAGAAAATCAACTGCCTGAAATCACTAAACTTTGAGTCTCTTTAGGGTAAGAACTCTTTCCTTTTCTTCTTTGAATCTTTAATGCTTCAGATGGATGGATATTCAAAAATTAAAAATTTAGTATTCACTTCAATAAGTATTTATTAAGCACCTGCTATATGCCAGGCACTGTGTTCTAGGAACTGTGAGTATAACAGTAAACAAGCCAGACCTGTTTGCTATGCTCCCAGAGCACGCATTCCAGACAAGAGATGCACAATAATAAGGAAGCAACTGCACAAATAAGAATGACAGTGCTGAGCTCTGTGAAGGAAAAACAGGACGGCATGATAAAGCATAGCAGGTTGTGGCTAGGCATAGTGGCCTGGCAGTGCCTCTATAAGGAAGTTGAGTCTTCAATGATGAGAACAAATCAGCCTTGAGAAGGTCTAGTGGAAGGCAAGGAAGCAGATAGTAAAAAGATAGTATGGAGGGAGAGTGTTTGGCAGATTTAAGGAACAGAAATCAGAAGGCCAGAGTCACTGAGGCCTAGTCAGGGAAAGAGAAAATAGGGAGGGAAGCAGAAGAAAACAGGTAGGAATGAAATAATTGGCCGATGGAGATATGGTGATAGAGTTTGGATTTCATTCTAGGGAAACATCTAGTTAGACATAGGGAAGCTTGAATCAGAGTAGTGATGTGATTACTTAAATGCATGAATTAATTCAGGAATTAAAGAAAGAATGAATGGACCTAGTTCTAGGTCTGCAACTGTCACTCTGATAACTAAATCCTTGATGAAACTGCTCATCTTTAATGAAGTTTTCAGATCTAAATGATACCTAAAGTCCTAGAAAAGACTAAAAGTTTAGACTGCAATGGAAGGTTTTTCCCTAAGAAAAACATTCATTTGGAAGATGTGAAGCCCCATCTAGGGGATCATACAGGGGTAGGCAAAAGTAGGTTTACCATTATAAATATCCCAGAGTTTATTCTTGCATTATTTATTGATTATTGTACTATTTATTATATTTATTAATCTACTTTTACCTACCCCTGTATATTAACCTAATGCCCTTCCCTTTATCATTGCTTCTATTTATCTTCCTTTGTCTTCCTATTACCCTTCCTTCTCTAGTTTACCCCTAACTTCAAAAGAAGAAGAAAAAAAGCAAACATTTCAACATAGATTGGTGAATAAACTGTGTGTTTTCAGCATTCAATTGTCCTAAGAGGTTTGAGCTAAAAAGAAAATTACCGTATTTCTTTTGTTGTTAACCCTTTACTTATTAGAGGGAAATCCAAATTTCTATAGAAACTGCATCATATCTGACACAAAAAGCGTTGAGAGGGCAAATTGAGAGAGAATCAGTTTTTTGGGGGTGGTATAGGACTGATAAGGAATAGCTCTGTTCTTCCTGTGAGCACTGGACTACAAGTCTGAATATTTAAATTTTAGTCCAGGCTAAACACTAAGGCACTGTCTGACCTCAAGCAAATGCTAGCTGAATTATTTTCCTTAGTATCATCCTGGCAAGAGAATGATAATATCTGCCTCCTTTAATTTGCACAATAAGGCTGCTTAAAAAATTATGTGCCCTATACTTTAGAACATTCTTCTTTAGAAACACAGGTCAGACAACCCCTTCTCCATGAAGGGTTTGTATGGAGATCTTAGCTCACAGTGGAAAATTGTGAGGCATAATCCTAATTGTTTATTCACGGTTGCCTGCCTCTCTTCAGACTCCGGTCAAAGCATTTGAAGGAGCAGGTGCATCATGAGGAGAAAGCACTGGTCTCTTACAGGCATCATCAACGAAGCAAGAGATGACATAAAAACAAGAAAACATGCAGAATGCCTTTACAGACGTTACATCAGAACATATGGCTATGAGTCATAGTCATTCTCTCAGAGAATTTAATATGATGGTGGATGTGACATAGCTTCAAATACAGGAAGTGCAATATAAAGATAAGAGTAGGGTGTGAACTTGTAACAAGGGTGACACTTTCAGAATTGTCTCTTCATTGGGATGATCACTCAACTGGCCTCATGTAACATCAAAACAGTAATAGGCTTTTTTTTGTGTGAGAAAAAGGAATTGAGGAAAGGATGGTTCATAAAATTTAAGGGGTTGGACTTATTATTTGGGAAGAATTTGTTCCCTTGGAAGAGAATCTATCTTTTCCTTAATTTTCACTTAGAATTATGTCTCTTTTCCTTGTCAAGGGCATTCAAATAAGCTGTGTAGGCTGTTTGGTATATGTGCTCTAGTCTGGGTTACAGAATTTGGTTTTGTTTTTCCTCATTAATATTGACTGCTAATGTGATTGGCTGCTGATGTATGGACTTGGTCCTCATTCTTTAGCCAACAGGAAATGACACAACTGGGTGAATGTTGAATAACTCATTGCCCAATTGATTATCCT